AAATTCTGCATGGGGGATTCTCCATGCAATGGGATAAGAGCAATAAAATGGGCCACCAAGTGCCATCTTCAGTTTGAGTTTGTTCACTCTAGTTTTTTATTCATTCATTCATTAAAAATTACTCTCTTAAAAACCATCTGCCAAGAAAATGTTAGAAAATAGTTGGTATCTTTTTCTTTTACTAAACGAGATTTAAGATTAGAACGGATGGTCAAGAGTTTATTTGTGGGCAATTTTTTCACCAATCTTCTTGTCACCCTACAATCCACATCTTAAAAGCTAGTGTCCAATACAATAACACTTGTAGTCTACTCCATTCATTAATTGTAACATATGAAGGGAAGAGCTCAAGTACTATAATACTAGTTGAACATGTATTGTTCTCTTTATTCCAATCTTTCATTCACACCAAACCTACCTACTTGATGACTTGTCCTTATTATAATATTTTATCTTCACAATATCATCAAATCAGCATACCAAATAATTAGACGCATTTACCATCTGATTAATGTGATCATAGTCATTCCATATCTTCTATAGAAAAGCAGTGAATTTATAAGAAAGTAGTTTGTTTTAAAAGAATAAAATACATGAGCTAAAATCAACAAGTTTGAATTGACTCGCTAACAATGATGCAATTACGAAATCAAACAAAATTGGTCTATTTTACAGCAGAAATCATTTGTTCTATTGTATAATTAACATGGCAGTGAACACCTTTCTATATAACTTAACTTGTACACTGAACAGACTTTGTTTACATAAATCTGCATGTGCACACACACATCCCCATCTACCAGGTGAACACATTTCCTGCACAACTCAACTGTTTTCATTTCTAAAAGTTTTTCATTTTCTTAACACAAAACTCTTTACACATTAGGACTCTTGAGACTTTTACAAAGACTAATAATATAGAATTTCAAGAACCATAAATTATCAACTCAAAGAAAGTTTATCTGCATCAATAATTCCTTATTTTCAATAAAAACACCAGTAGAAAACCCTGACAAAGATTTGGTATTGAAATCATCAGGTTAAGATAAATGTAATTTTAAATACAACAGTATGGGGAAAATCATTGAAAGAACTGAACTGCCATTTTTTTCAAACAAATTGGCAGAAAAAAAAAATATTTAATACCAACAGTATAGGTAAGTTAAAGGGACATTGCGCTTTTTTGTAAAACATTTTCATTATCAGAAACGTCGTAAATTATACCTGAAAATATTTCTAAAGTATGCTATTTATATCTATGTACCTACTTGATCAAACTGAATTTGTTTTTCAAAGGTTAATCAAAATTGAGAGTACTAATTGTTAATTAAGCAGTTTTTGCTAGTTTCAGTGATTGGCTTTATAATGGTTCATTACATTTAATTGAAATCTTTAGAAAACGTAGGAGACATATTTCGCTAAGACTAGGCGTTTATTTTACTGCAAAGATAGTGGACCATAGCCACTATACTTTATATGATAACATTCCACAGATTTTGGTTTATAGTTTTCACAAATTTGAGCCAAAAAAATATTCGACTTACAAAAAAAAACGAATATCCCTTTAACAAGATTTTTTTCTGACCTAAAGTTTCAGTTTCGTTATTTGGTAGAGAAGTAAGCTTTTATAATATAGATTAACTTACATCATATGCTGAACTTCTGTTGTGAACCAATTATTTAAAGATGAAACTTTCATCCCAGTACAGCTTGCCATTATAATAATCTATAACATAAAACAATTTTTTTTTTTTGTTCAGGAATTTTCAATCTAAAATCAACATTACACTTTTTCAATGTCTTTGATAGAAAAATACCACAAGTAAAGTTTGCAATCAAGCGCATTAGTAGTCTTATAGTAAGAGTAATTTACTCGACTAACAACATACAATCACATTATGTGGGTGTATAAAAATTAACTTTGTTTGTGCACTTCTCCAATTGTTACATGTAAATTATGGATTATTATCATTATAGCATAATTCACAAAATCACAATAACGAGAAATGAAAATAACCAAGAAATATGTGTAGTTAGCGCTGATTGATTCAATTGGTCCAATCAAAATTGAGTTCTCATAATCGCTATTTTGCAGAACATTAAAAATGGAGGCCCTGAGATTTAAAATACTTACGTAACAGTTTAAGAATTATTTTATCGATTGTGACTTAACGCTTGGATTTTTCACGTTGAAACTTTCACGAAAGGTAAGGGGCATCTTCCTCTACGTGTTGGCATGAAGAATTATGTATTTCATGATCACAAAAACTCATTGAAAAAACTGGTCTAGCCCTTTAAATTAATGTTGAAAAATTTTGGCAACTTAATTTAAAAAAAAAAATTCCCTTATAATCTTATTACATAATTACATTTTGTAGCTTAAATAGCTGTATATGTTATAAAGTATTATAAAGCCCAAGCTTAAGTCATAGCCTACTTATTTGTTAGCTTATTATCTAATGTACTAAAGAAAGGTATAATACTTCCACCTACACATTTTCTTATCAAAGACATGTGACCACAAACACTCATAACCACAAGAATGTGACCAAATTTAAAACTGACATAATCAGATAGTTGACATTCTTGACCTAGGGCTTTTTATATCGAACTTCAAAAAAGTTCAATTCTAGCTCACATTCACCAATTAATCCTGTTATCAGTTTCTCTCTAAACATTACCTGATATCAACTTATTGACAATAACAAGCCTATGTAAGGTGATCAAGGTACATGATTATATGCATGAGAAATATTCTGTGTATTATTTGGAAAAACAAATCTCTAAAGGCCTACCATCTTCAAATCTAAAAAATTTCTATGGTTGCATAGCATAATAGGTCTTGGATTATCTACCTCTACCAGGAAATTGGTTTCTCTGCAATCTCTATCTATCAGTGTAACTGTTCGGATTCAGTAGGCTTACCCATTGCTTAAGCTTAAAGATGGGTTCCCTTATTTTCATTTATGAAAATGAAAATGTTAATACTTATACTAAAAGAGAGTAGAAATGTTCTAATGACTTGGAAAAATACCAGTTTGTCTCACATGTCCACAATTAATTCATAATTATCTACATTAGAGTGGATTACCAGCAGAATTCCAATGAGTGAGCGATCAAGAAAGGTCAAAAAGTCTTTTTTTTCATCCAAACTGAATAAATGCAGAAATTTCTGATAGGTTAAAACTCTTAATTATATGCAATAAGAATATATTGATAATGAAAAATATAATTAATGTTTAAGAGGACATGATAAATCGTTAGAAACACCAATTAATCAAATAGTTTGCTTAATTTGACACTAAAAAATAAGGAAACCCATCTTTAATGTTGTTCTGGCAACATTTTCCTAAACACACACTGCATATCACAGCACAACCAATGTTCATCAGTCCATTTATCAGAACTTACTACTAGTTTGTTCAATTTTGTGCCGAAAATAATGAAGCCTATCATTAAAAAAATTGTCATTATTCAACTCAAAGAGTGCATGATTTTTTAATGTAATTTTTCTAAATTTAAACCAACTGATTAAACAATGTATGATAATTATTAATCAAAGTCATAGTTAGTTAGTTATGCTAAGGTACCGTAGATGAGGACTACTGGTTTATTAGCTGATTAGCATCAAAAGTTTTGACAAAGGAAAGTGAAAAGTCAGTGATCTTTCCGTGTCATTCATGTTGCCTAAAAATTAATGTAATTTCATACAAATTTTGATCCTTGGGAAAAATGTAGCGCAAGTTACCGGTTTGACCTATTATAATATGAAGCATGTGACTTGGTACTTGAATGAAATCTATCAAAACACTCGTACCACGCCCACACAACCCGTGTGCCTCTGACCATGTGAGTGAGCGTAGGTGTAAATCAATCGCTTCCAAACTTTTCAACAAAATATCTCATATGTTTGTACCTCAGTGTCCTTGAAACTTGACAAAATACTTCTTTTATATTCAATCTCTCATTCTGCATTGATGATTACGTGCATCAAAGTACATTCGGAAGTGAAAATGTTGCTTATTATTACATAAAAATTTACTGCTATGTATATGCCGCCATTTGCATTTTTCTATTGCGCATGCTTGTGGAGACCTTTGACCCATATTTACCTGCGGTTAGAACTTCAAAAGACACCGACAGAATGCAATTAAAATGACAGGTAGGGGTTAATTATTTCATACATTTGATTTTCTAAAGTCAGGCACAGAAAAATAATTCTAAGCATCGCACAGAGAGAAAATAAACGTCCAATGTATTCCATTCAATTACGTCCGAGATCAGGCAAATGAAAGACCTACACGACTTGATAATTAGCCTAATGATGCCGTTTCAGAGGAGTGAGCAATCCGAATAAACCATGATAAATGTAACTGAGTGAAATAATATATACATTCAATTATTAAATACGGTTTCTTTCTTTACAAATTATTACAGGCCATGATCACCATTCCTGTTGAATGCAATGAACCTCAATCTTTTTAAACTGTCATTATAGTGCGAAATTTGGAAATAATTATTCTATATTTTCGCTTTTGGCAATGGTTATTATCATCAGGAATTATTATTGACTATTCCTGTTTGTGGGGGATTGGAACCTACAAGGTCAATTGTACTGTTGTCCCTTAGGATTAAGCTATTTGTCATACTTAATTTAGCATCAGGAGCAAATGAATTGTAACTAAACGGTGGGCAGAATATAAAGTAAATTGGCTTCCATAAATAGTTTGTGTTTTGCAGAAACATCAAATAACCGAAGAAAACAGTAAACAGTTAAAATCAATAATGTGAATATTCATGAGAAGGCAGTCGAGTCTCAGGTTGGCTAGAGTTAAGTTGAGTCATGAATTATAGGAGTGGCTTATAACTATAACCACATACTTTGGCTCATTCACAAAACCACATCAACCAGTTCTCTAACATATCGTTGTGTGGTATAGTAATATTATTTTAACTTCATGCATTTACCTACAGATTTGAACGGTTTGACACCGTTCCCAGACGCTCATAGTGCCATGGGAGATGTGTTCCCAGGTGACAGACCATTATCTTCCATCCTGGGGGAACATCCTGGAGAATTAGTACGAACTGGTAGTCCAAATTTTGTGTGTTCTGTCCTGCCATCACATTGGAGATCAAACAAGACGTTACCTGTTGCCTTCAAAGTAGTGTCATTAGGAGATGTCAAAGATGGAACTAAAGTTATTATACGTGCTGGAAATGATGAGAACTTTTGTGGTGAAATTAGGAATTATACAGCCTATATGAAGAACAGAGTGGCCAAATTTAATGATTTAAGATTTGTGGGTCGCAGTGGTCGAGGTAAGTCAGTACAAATCTTTTTCAACTTTTCTCAAACTTTTTCGGTATTCAAACAATAAACAATTTTTTTGTAAAATGTGTTTACGTATGACAATTGACCTATAATGTGCCGTAAGAGTAAATATACAGTTAGTGTAACCATGACAGACATATCAAACATTATTTTTTATTTCCTAGTTATTTCTGGCTAGTTTAACATAGTGTATAACAACCTGGATGTAATAACATGTATTTTAGTCAAGTTTATTTACCACAACAATAGAGGGTTTATCTTGATATTACTGTTATAGACTTATCATACCAATATAATCAATTCTAAACTACGTTGTTAACAGTACACTATACGTGGGTGTTCCGGTAGTATTTCTCTTTTAGTCATTTAAAAAAAAAAGCATTTTATGTGTACTTAGTGACAAATACGCCTTACCTAGCTTATTTTCTCCATTCAAATATAGACATTATTTTAAAGCCCACTCACTGATGTAAGTGACTTCTCTCAGCCCAAATCCATCAGCCCAAATCCATCAGCCCAAATCCATCAGAAATGGAATATGTAAAGTTTCTAATTCATATAAATTGATAAATGAATAACACAAGCGTGTCAATGTAAATAATAACTTAAGTGATCTAGGGAGTCAGATAAAGTGAGGGAAGAGAAGGGGAGAGTTTACTTATTTCCTGACAGGAATTTAAGTGAAATGTGTAAAAAGATTACATCATCAATCCAAGACACTGATTTTCATAGTGTTAAGTGTGGTCAATAGATTATTAGTTGTTCTTGTAAAATATTATATTTCATATTATGTATATACATGTATTGAATTGTGGTCTGTAGTAAATTGATCACATTGATATGATAAGTTCTTCTAATATAGATAATAATTTGTACTTGATATGCAAAGTAATATAGCATGATTAAGATGTTTGATATGTAATTCATATCACATTTGTGGCAAATAATTATAGTGTGGTTTATGGCACTAGATTATGGGGTCTGTATAGTAAATGTGGTATATAGTAATACATGTGTTTTGAATTGTGGTCTGTAGTAGTTAAGATATTCCATATGATGTGGTTTGCAGGTAGTAATTTATGATGTATATTTTACAGTGGTCAATAAGGTAATAATGTATCTGTGTATTATTTCACAGTGGTCTATAAGGTAATAATGTATCATGTATATTTCACAGTGGTCTATAAGGTAATAATGTATCTGTGTATTATTTCACAGTAGTCTATAGGTAATAATGTATGATGTATATTTCACATTGGTCAATAGGTAATAATGCATCTGTGTATTATTTCAGAGTGGTCTATAAGGTAATAATGTATCATGTATATTTCACAGTGGTCTATAAGTTAATAATGTATCTGTGTATTATTTCAGAGTAGTCTATAGGTAATAATGCTGTATATTTCACAGTGGTCAATAGGTAATAATGTATCTGTGTATTATTTCACATTGGTCTCTCTAGGTTAAAATAATGAATGTTTATATTATACAGTGTTATGATTGTGGTTAGTATTTTCTGTTTTTTCTGCTCTTTACATGTTTATATTATTTAATGTTATTGCCACTAGATGATCTAAAGTTTAACTAGCTAGAATTTGAAAACGTATGATGGGTGAACAGGGTTAAAAACTGACGGTGGAGATCATAGGCAAATCATATGAAAATATTGGAATCATGAGATATTTTTTCTCACAGTTCAGAAGGGTCACTTATGTAGAATCTTTGTTTAATTTTACAATTTTAACTTATAACTTGAACTATCTTACTAAACCTCTTGAGCTTGTTTACACTCCCTAAATGTATCTTGAAATTTGCCTTTTAAAGTTCAAACTAATTGAATCAAGAGATTTGATTTAATAAGTGCTGCACCTTATATTCAACAATGCTATTGTTTTCACTTGACACAGAAGAATTACCATGCAACAGAACTTATCATTAAAATATCAAATAACATCTTTAAATTGAGAATGATGAAAAATGGTGGTTTCAGTGGGGATTTTAATTTTATTTGTTCATGGTGTAAGATTATGGAGCTAGGAGAATAGAAAGTGTGATCGCCTTCTGGTCTTGTGGCTTAGAAAGAGACATTTTAACAGAAAGAATTTAATGGTTCATGGTTTGTGTGGTCACCCACTGTGATGATAGTCACACAATGCTTTGTATTTTTCTCTTTTTTAATGTTCTTTAATATATAATATATATTGGTTTATTTAAATACTTTTTTACATATTGAATTTGGTGGAGATCTTCTGAAATTGATAATTTATTCTAGACTTAGGAATCCACATATAAAACTTACCATTTCATTATATTTTGTAGAATTGTATAACCAAAGCACAAGTACTGTATATACATGACCATGTTTTGATGTTCTGTTCGGAATTATTTTCAACGGATTCCATTATTGGCTATGACTTTGAATGAGTAAACTAACAGATAGTAATTTGAATTGAATGCGACACACCTACAAATTTTATTTACATAACAGTGAAATGCACAAAAAATTCTCCAGTTAAAGGAATCGATTTCTATATCCATTAATGTATCTAAAATATGTCATGAAATAAATTCAAGCTCTGTAGGTAAAAGTAGCTCATACCCGCTATAGTAAAATATTGAAATCATAAAAAGCAATATGCAACAAAACTATTCCTAATGTCCTCAAAAAGTATCAATGAAGATTTATAAGATTTGATCAAATATGATATTCTTCATTTTCTGAGACACATAAAAATCGAAATAATTTATTCTTTGGAAATTTAACTAGCCTTACGTCTTGTTATAGGTTAGATCTTGGCTACACATCCTTTTTATGTGGTGAATGATGCTATCTCATTGAAAACTTGATTATTTTTTCAAATTAATGAGGAAATCTAAAAGCCATTATAACAACTTTTTGAATTGCTGATTTAATTTAGATAAAACTGTGCACATCTATTTCATTTTTTTTTTTGCTTGCTGCAACACCTGCAAATACGTGTTTGCCAAAAGGAAATCAGTAATGATTAGAATAGATGAAGTGTTTTGGCATCAAACTGGCATACTGTGTAAATATGACAGATATTGATACATGCATCACCCGCATAGATTGTGTCTTTGAACACTACTTTTAATCTCAATTCAACACAATTTGTTTGTCAGCTCAACATTTCTCACTTAAATATCCGCCAACTTGCAGTTCTCAGATAAAAAATGTCAGTAGACGAGTGAGGATTAGGTCTAAGTTTTTTCACTGGTTTTGATGTTTTATGTTTTTGTGTTAACTATATTTGAAGATACAGGACTGACAAAGGTTTTATAAGATTAGCATATTGAAGGGAAGGGATAAAGTGACATCCTTCTTAACAATAAAGATATCGTTTTTTTATTAGACAACTTTTGATCTAGTTCACATTAAAGCTTGTATTAAATAAGGTACTGCACACTCTGTCCTTTCATAACCCATTATATATTGTTTTATAATTGCCTTTTGCACCTTAACCAAATCATATGCATAATTATCTGTGCTGATTATTTCAAGCATACATCTTCTGTACATTGATTTAGGACAAAAGCAGAACGTTTATAAATGCATTTTGGAAATTGCCATTAATTGCACTGAATTGCCCATTCATCTTAAATTTAAATAAATTCAATCAAATTATTTCACCTTCAATTAAAGTTTAATATGAATACTAATATGCCTGAAAATTTTAATTTCATGCATATAAATTTTTATAGATTTGTTGTTATTAGTCATTTACACAACAATTGTTTTTCAAGTGTTACTGTCACCTCTATTTCCTTCTTACTGTCATAAAAATATGACATGTCAACAAAATCAGTGGACAAAGACACTCCACCATTTTTCTTTGACTTGATTGATTAAGGAACTTGTGTGAGGACTGGGCCATTGAAGAAAAACCCATGTGTTTAAATTGCCTCCAGTTGATGACTTTGTCTTGCATAACAATAAGATCTTTACAAAGAAAGAGGTTGACAAAAAATCAGTGAAGACTAACAAAGCAGACCTTTCATACCAGATGTGCTAGAACCCTACACTTTCTGTTTTATTTTCACTTCAAAGAAGAAAAGTCTTGGCTTTAGATACACAGTAAATAATTGTATTGGTCAATATTGTGGATCCACCATCAACCATCTTGAAAAAACCTCCTTAATTAAAACAAACATAGTCAATTTTAGAGGTTGATGTTGAGCTAGTATGGATACTTGTTAAAATATTTATTAATATAATGAGATATAATGATTGTCCACCTGTCACTGTTTTTATATTATTTTAACTAAATATATTCACTGTGTCTGACTGAATATAGTTTTATTTTACAAAGATCTCCCGCTTTCTTGTACAATACAAACAATTGCTTGATTCCCTTTTTATGGAATTTTATCAGATTAGGATTAGGATTATAATCTAAATTCAAATTTTTTTTCTATTTTGAACACAAGATGATGAAAATGGAGTTGTTTTGTCTGCATCTTAGAAACACAAAAGGCATTTCTTTAATGATTTTCATTTCTACTGCTATTTTGGTTGCTTTTTGTTTGTGCAACATTTCTGTAAAAAGATATAGTTGTCTAAATAGTAACATTACATCCACACATTACCAATATTATAATGGTGTCATTTATAACTGTTTATTCGGATTTTAATAACCACCTGGACAATCTTCTACTTCTAACACTTTTTATAGAATAAAAGGAGAACTGGAGGTTGGATTTTGCTTATCCTTTAAAGAGAAGAAAACTATTGTTTTTCCTTGACCAATGCATTTCAGAGTTAATCTGAGATAGTCTCTCATCTAGTAATGGTAAAAGTTTATGATTCGGTGGAAAGATTCAAAATCAGTGCAGAAAGTTAACACATGTAGTTTCCAGAATGCTTGTTCTTGTTGGGTATTTGTTTTTGACATTGATTTCAAATGTCATTCATCAAGAGAAAAGATGAGATTTCAAATTTTACAATAATAATAGAATCAAGGTTAGAGATTAAAAAACACTGTATTTGTCTGAGTGTAGGTTAATAATAGTATAATTAGAGAGAAAATCAATAATATTGTAGGTGTATATAAGTATTGTGAAATATAGAACATATTAACCTAATACCACACTATCATGGTATTTCAACTAGTATAGGTGGCAGATATCATCTCTAACACAATCTGTTTGCAGGAATTTCGCAATCTTTCAAATTATGTACAATTGATTATTTTATATGATGAAATTTAAATGTAGGTGTTAATGCTATAAATTTTTCATATATTAAAGTGAATAACAAATAGAAGTGATTTCTATGGAGTGTTTTGTTTATAGCTGTCATCTAATGTCATTACATTATTATTGTGATATAATCATTAAGAATTTTGTTGATTTGAATTTATGATTTGTGGTTTCAGTTCTTGTACTAGTAATTAGTAGGTCATTCCTGTAGGTGGTGAAATCACTTAGTTGACTTAGTTGTTTATTTATTGAGCTTTCCAATAGCTTGGAGGTTGTTCAGAATTTATCTAAGATATGAATATTGAAGGATTTTTTCTATCTTTTAACAAATGTTGAAGTCAAGAATCTGTTATTTATTAGAAGGTTAATCTATCTAGGTTCTCACAATATCTTCAAGGATGTTTCAATGAAGCCAATTTGTATGAAAATTAGTCTTTTCTTTAAGACGATAAAATGGGTGAGAAGATGTTTAAGAGAAGTTAGCATGCAGTAATTATATTTGATACACTTGACATGAATCAATATGCTAGAAGCTGAGGGATGTGACTGCTCAGACTTTTAAGCTAATTAAGACTAATTCTTTGTGCCCTCAACATGAGGCCAAGTCCTATTAATTCGACCTTCGACATGGGTGACGACCTTTGACTCTTCAATCATAATTGTTGACAGAGGAACAAAGAAAGTAACAAGCTGATCAAGCCTGGTTGGATATTTGTACAACTGTTTAGTTTAACAGGCAGTCACTGTCTAATATTTGATATGTCAGTTTTTACATGTAGAATTAACACTGTCTGTGAACCCCAGTTTCTAACAAATCTTTTTATTTCTTGCAAATTCATTTCTAATACTTTAAAATATTTCAAATATCCAACTGAAAATTGAAAGAATTCATAACATAACTGTCTTTTATATTTATGTCCTTCAAATAGAAGCTATCTTATCAATTATTCTTATAAATTGAAATTTATGCTGAAATAAAGTTAAAACAAAGCTTTGAAAGTGACTCTTGGCTTCATCTTTAAAATTATTAAAATTTATGTAAAATTAAGGAAAATCTGTTTCAATTGTTTTAGAAATTTTGAAAGCTCTTGACTATGATTAAAAAGTATGCAGTTATAAAATTGTTTTTGTGTTATCAATACATGTCTAATGCACACTGATCTTTATCTTTTAATAAAAAAAAGAAATCCTGAACAGGTTAGATAAATAAATAATTAGATATTGTCTGAAGCTTATAAATAAATTATAAAGAGGCAAGGTGTCTTTGTGATAAAGCCTAGGTTTGATTGTATTTAAAGGTTAAAGTGATCTTATCATGGTAAAATTAATCAGCATCATCAAACAATGTAATGATGAAGGTTAGAGATGATTGAAACCTTGATAAACAATTCATGTTAATTGACCAGCAACAGACTGTCTTCTGCAGTTTCAGACAAAATATTCTAGTAAAAAAAGAACCTTAGTGAATTGATGTTTCACAAGGAGCAAACATTACTATGAATCCAAAATAAGAGAAATTTAGTCCTGTCTGCTTTGTGGAGCAACTTTGCTCTTGATTCTCTTTACTGTGAGGTTTTTATGTCCTATTGTGATCAAGATAAAACCAGAAGCTGGGAGTACAAATAGGGGGCAGATTGTAGGGCTTGAATTTCCATTTGCAGAAATAGGTACAAGTCTTTCAAGAGGTTCTCTGTAGGTGCCTACCCTTACAACAAGTTTAAATATGTTAGATTAGACCTTTTGAGGCTTTTTATATCCTATCTCATTACATATTTTATCAGAAAAGTAATGTAAGATGGAGGTACCGAGGTATAATTATATGTATTACATGGAAGCTATCAAACGGATGATTTGATTGTTTATTCCATTCCACCTTAGTAGTGTTAATATATGCCCAAAGTGTATATTATAAATCAGAACAATATTTAAATTTTTGAAGAGTTAAATACTATATTTGAAATAGGTTATTTACTGACATTTTTTGTCAAAAGTTGAAAAGTCAAAATTTTGACTAAACTTTTGATGTGATTTTTTTGTATTATGAGTTTGAAATTTTCTATGTTTTTCAGGTAAAACATTCACTTTAACTATAACAGTGTCATCAAACCCACCACAAATAGCTTCTTATAACAAAGCTATCAAAGTGACTGTAGATGGTCCAAGAGAGCCAAGATGTAAAACAAGTAAGGATGGATTTAATTTTCCAATCGGTATACTCAAACATTTTTCCAAGGGTATGTTAGGTTTCCATTCATCTTGATGTTGTCAGCTTTATCATTTCTGCTGCTTTATGTAAGCAATTTTTTAAGTTTATTTTACTTCTTGATGTTGTACCCATAGATGGAGCCCAAGCTTTTTAAGGATCTTACAATATTGCTCTCATCTTATTTGTTAAAATGTGACTCAAGCCTTCGCCTGAAATTGTTATTCCTAAAACATATTGATAGGGCACCAACCTCCCAGTCTCCCATGTATGGTAGTCTTAACATTCTGCTATCAAATTAATTTCTGTCTGCCGTATATTTAAAATTTATTCAGTTGAACTAGGAAGCTATGTCTTTGGACAGGGAATTAAGGATTGAAATTTTTAATTTGTGAATTGGGAACTGAATTTAAAGAAATGTAGAGTGGTATAAAAAAATATCTTATACTGTTTTGTGAGGCTAGATTAATTGACTCTTGTAGTAGTGAAATGAACAGGTCATGACATATTTGATCTGAACAATTAATACTGAGAGAAAAGATGGTTTTTAAGAATTTAAATAGTAAAAAAAACAAAAATGTGACATTGTTAATATGATTAGAATGAAACCTCAATGTTATCAAAAGAAATCTTATTATCAAGTTTTTCTTTTAAACAGCTTGGCATGTTGTCAGTTAAATGATTTTTCATGTCTTTCTACTTATAAAATATTTTATTATTAATCTTTACAAGTCTTCCAAACTCACTTAACGCATGCCGTTTTTATAACTTCAAATCAAGTATAAATTTTTCAGAATAATTTTAAGTGTAATGTAATAAATTTATGGTATGAAATGGATTGTTTTCTTTAACCAATGATTACACATCAAATTTACAAATAATTCAAAACATTATATTTAATGGTTATTTTAAAATAATATTTTGAGCAATAAACTTGATGAAAAGAAAACTTGATTGTTCTATTTTCACATTATTTTTACATTTTCACAAGTCAGTGGGGAAAAGTGACATTTGATTAGTGGAAGAGAATAGAGGATAAAAAGTAATTGTGGTTATTGAGAGAGGCTATGATAAGGGTAGCTGACTAATACTACACAGGAAACTGTCAATTGCCAATCACATCATTTAAACTTGAATTGTTTCACCTGCTTTACACTGCAGCTTTATACACGCCCATATATCAATAAAATATGTACCTTAGTATTGATATCATTAATTCTCGTGTCTAAATACCTTCATGCCATTTGATAAATATAATACTGGATATCATTCTGCCATATTGATATAGTTCTTTATCATTTTTTACCATTACTGATAGCATTTTAATAATCAGTGTGTATAGAATAATTTCTATATTATAATTAAACATAGGAATAATATAGCTTGAAAACACTCATTAATCAAATTCAATCTTGACAAGTTACTTCTTCCAGACAATTTTAATTAATCAAAGTTGTATGAAGACTGATTTTCATTGTTGTCAAATATCATCTTTTATTTTTCATATGCTTTCAATATCAGCAGGTATTTTTGTAAATTGTATGTTGTGTTTATATGATTAATGCCATGATTTGTTTATTTAATCATTCATTTTAAAATCCTCAAAATATAATGAAAAATCATCAAATATGTGACATCCCAATATGGCCTTTATTTATTATTTACTTTCGTCTCTAGAACTTATACATACTGATGACAGAAGAATACCACTTAGACCTGGACCATTAGATTTAAATATTCCAAGAACCACATTATCAGATCCATTAGCTGATCGAAGATTTTTACATCTAGCAGAATTAGAATTATTACGTCGTGAAACCACACAAGCTTCAGAAATTCAAACAAATTCGAATGGTTTACGTTCACAAGCAGGTAAACTCTCGTTTTTGATATTTAGCGTCTAAATAGTCGATTTTATGAAAAATTGATTTGGAGAGGATTTCAATCTCTTTAAATAAATTTTGTGTATTTAAAATTTTAAGAAATCAATCAGTAATAACTATGTTTACTTGTATTTTATAGATAAATTATCAGATGCTAACCGAGGGTTGTGGTACGACACTTTATCTCATACAACAAAAGATTATAGTGTATCCAGTCATACATCACCTTTACTAAGTCAATCCCAACCTATACGAGTCACTCCTTTACCGGGTAGGTTATTGAGTGTTTAATATCTGTACTCATTACCTTTATCATCAAATTTTATATTCTAAAAACATGGCTACCCACAAACCATAATTTGACAAATATGGCTTCAGGCAAGGTTATACAATGAAGCCTTGATATTTGATGAAAAAAGAGTCATGTGACAGATGACAAAAAATTGTCTATTTGCTTTAGGTTTTATATTTGCAAAAACAAAATTTCGTTAAATAAGGTAGCTGAGATTAAATTGGAATAAAGAAAAAAAAACACCATTCTTCATAGATCCATTTGAAACAATGATAGTAAATGAGAAAAATTAGCATGTAAATGTATTATTATCTAGTTGCATTTGACAGTAATGTTAGTAAAATGTAATATAGATGTTTCTTTAATGAAACTGGTATCAGTTGTTTGCTTCTTTAACTAGTATTTTACCAATAAATTTGCCTTAAAGAAAATGAACTGATGAAGCTTTTTCTCAGATTACTCAGCTTAAATCATTATCAATACTACCTTAATTAAAGATTGTATCTTTTTTGTGTAATTGGATGGTTATTAGAAACCAACATGTTATTATCATATTCTACTCAGAACTCTGATATTTTTTTGTATCCAAGATAATGTTGATTATTGAACAACTTTAATTTGGTCATTTCAGCACGCCCTACAACTATTGAATCTCGAGAAGCTGATAGCAGATTATCAGCAGTTCCACCACCCCCAGTCACAGATATCCAGTCTGTAATAACAACTAGTATTTTACATCCTGACAGACGTCTACCAATATTACCAGACGTGACTAGACCAGATTATTCAGTCTTACATGAGTCTAGATTATCACAGTCCCAGTTACCACTAGTCTTACAATCTCAATACACCACATCTGCTGATGTCCGACTTACAGATCATAGAATGAGTGAACCTATTTATGATACTAGATCATTATTTATACCACCCCAAACCTTACCCTATACAGCTAGTAGTTCTAATTTATCTATTCTAGAAGAAAGTCGTGCCATATCCACATTACCCATACCAATGACACATGGTAGCTATACTCCAATGTCACCACATGATTTCTTTAGTCGAATTAGTCCACCAAGTGGTCTAACGTCATCACCATATCTTAGTAGTCCTCCAGCTAGAGTTTTACCTCCGACATTCCTGTATCCACATCTTTATTCATCCAACTCATCTCAATATCAAACACGACTATATTTACCAACTGGGGAGATGAGGACATATGAGGTACTTGGACAGAGATCTGGTGAACCTTCTACAAGATTAGAAAAACCAGTTCCTGTTTCCCCAACAGCTCGCTTAGCTCTAGAAGGTTCTACTTCATTACAAATGAGGGAAGAAGAAATGATGGAAGAGGGAACATCATCTTCTGATTCATCAAGGGATATTATACTATCTAGACCACCACAAAGATCATCATCAAAATCTCCACCAAGACGAATAAATGACCCTGAACATAGTTCTGTGTGGAGACCTTATTGATTGAAGTTTTTAAAATGTTTGAATCAAATGGAAATAGCAAGTTAGAGGGACTTGTGAGAGCATATCAGTTGTTTTATACTCTGACCAGAGGTTTTGTTAATTGTTACCAAAGTGCTATAATTATTATATACCAAAGAGAGATTGTGTTAGAACTGTTCAATCAGCTATTTCTCTCATTTTGTGAATGTGTCTGAGAAATGCCATTTGCAGTTGCACATTTTGGAGACAAACTAGAGTATATGGAAGCAAAGTGTCAATTTTTGAAAGTGCTCAATTTTAAGCATGCCTTTGGTATTAATGCCTTGTGTACATTTCACATCATGCTTTATATCTTTATGGCTTAGCATCTTAATCAGAACTTCCATGCACTATGTTATTTGTTAAAATTGTTTTGAAATATTTAATGCCTTAATGTAATTATTTGTGAATTTTTATGATTGTGTTTGTATTATATGTATGTGCAGCGTGTACTCCTTTAACTTATATCATATTTGGATATATTCAATTATTTCATACCAAATAACAATAAGGTGGGGATAACCTATCTTTAAACTGAACCACAATTATGTATAAATATATCGAAATTATTATTATTATGTTCTATACCAAAGATAAGATAAAATGAGTTCTATCAAAGGGAGTGGAAATGCTATGATTAAGACATTACCAAGGGTTTAATTAAATTGGGTGATCCTTGAAAACTGTATTACAGCAGGTCTATCTTGTTATTAGTATAAGGCTAGGTTTAATGATGTTGTATTGTAAGGTAATCAAATGGTATGAGTAATTATGAGTAATTTTGTATGTAGGTAGATATCACCTCTATTACTAGAGAACACAACTTCAATTGCCACTTCATAGTGCAACATAGACCTTACTTAGTACTATGTCACTTGATTACTCTAATCTCATTAGGCCTACTAATCATCTATTTCTATCTCCTAATATGGAGAATATCTTTCTACTTACAATGCAATTACTGTGCAATAATTAAATACAGATTCTGAAGTTCATTCAAGGATCACCACATAAGTATGTATTGATAAATAAGAGTGTTCTTACATGAATGCAGCAAACCACATATTCCACTGACTGTACACTGAAAGATGTAGCTGTTTTGTCAGTTTAGTATGCAAGTAATTAATTTGAATTAGATTGGGACTGTTAGTCCTATATACTAATGTCAAACAATGCAATCAATTTATAGGTATTATGATCATTATACTGATCATTATTTTATTTAAAGGAATCAGTTTTATAGCCATTCCTATTGTCTATCATGTTTGTTTGTCAATAGTTTGTCCATATTATTATTATTATTATATTTCATAAGT